TGAGTGAGGTATTGGAATTCTTTAATATAGGTGGACGGGTCGGCTGAGAAGGATCCTAAACGTTTCTCAATTTGGGACAGGTCTTGGAGTAAGAAAGGAACATGGACCCTGATTAAACCTTCTGCGCCTGCTACTTCTCGGAGTGGGGCCAGGATAGCTGGCTGGTGGGAGCGGGTGTGGGCCGCCACCGGAGAGGCAAGAGGAAGTGCGACCTCTGAGGGAGGGGGCTCAGAGGCAGTAGAGGGAGAGCGAGGCATGGCCTCTGAGGTAGGAGGTGCAGAGGGAGTGGGGGAAGGGCGTGCCATTGATGGCGACTGGTTGCTGAGATTGGCAGGAGAGGACAGATGTTCAGGCAGATCCTCCAGTGAGGAGTAGGGAGGGGGAGAGGTAGTGGAGGAAGATTTACGAGGGGTTCGAGCTAAGAGGATTTGGTAGGTGGAGCAGGAAGAACATAGGTCGGGGTGGGTACGGAGGTCCCAAAAAGCCTGGACGTAAGGAATTTCATTGTCCTTGCCCGCGTGGCGACAAAAATCATCGAGATCTCGGAGGGTGTTGAAATCAAAAGTGCCAGTCGGGGGCCAATGTGACTGGTTACTGAGTTTGTATTGGGTCCAAGCCACCTGAGACAGGAAGATAGGCTTTTTCTTTCTGAGGGTTTGGGAATATCCCAATTAGGTAAAATTTCGCAGCAAGCACCCAAGGGGGGTGCTCAGAGGTATTTTGGACTCCGAATTTCCCATGGCAGGCGCAGCTACAGACTCTCCGGCGCGGATGGGCAGATGCAACAAAAAGGCGTCCCCATTCGTTGCAAATTCCCTGGAGTACAATTAAGTACGGAAAGGGAAGCGGTCAGAGGGGCGTCCCCCATCTGGCGGCTGTCCCTTGGAAGGCTCCTGGAGCCGGAATGGAAGACCACCTTGGCTCGGCCGAGGCTAGGCAAGGAGTCCGTGCGGAACGCCGGAGAGGGAGCAACTGCACCGTGCCGTAGGAAGAGGAGACGGGAAGCGGGGGAAGGCAAAGCAAGAAAAAACTTGGCTTACCTTAATCGGAACGTGGAGGTGGTAGGGCCAGTGTTGGGTAGGTCGGGGAGGGGGGCCGTGGCCGGGCCAACGGCCCCAGCTCCCGGGTTTCGGCACCATTTGTCCGACCTACCCTCTGCGGGAAGACTGGGCTCATTGGGAAAGAAACCGGACTGCAGGCAAGAAGAAAGTCCTTAAGTTCAGGCTTTATTGAGAGGAAAGAGCCTCCGGGCAGGCCAGCCGGGACGAAAAGGAAAAATGGCCGCCCCGCTCAGAGGGGCAGGGTTGTTTTATAGGGGGCTGAAGGGCTGGGGGGTGGGGAAGCCGAAAGCCGAGGTGGTGGGCAACTGTTGGTCAGTTTGAACTGCTGGGTGGCGGGAAGCTGGGCGGCGGGAGGGCTAGGGCCGGTATGTAAAGTGAGAGATAAGGGAGCCTCTTTGTGGGGGAGGGAAAGAGAGAGAGAGAGCTTTCGCGGTAGGGGCAGAGTTTTCTAAACACCTAAGACTGGGAAATTATTTATTTATTTATTCATTTATTTTCTGAGACAGAGTCTCACTCTGTCACCCAGGCTGGAGTGCAGTGGTGCAATCTCAGCTCACTGCAAACTCTGCCTCCCAGGTTTAAGTAATTCCCTGCCTCAGCCTCTCGAGTGGCTAAGATTACAGGTGCTTGCCACCACGCCCGGCTGATTTTTGTATTTTTAGTAGAAATGGGGTTTCACCATCTTAGCTAGGCTGGTCTTGAATTGCTGATCTCATGATCCATCCACCTCAGATTCCCAAAATGCTGTGATTACAGGCATGAGCCACCGTGCCCAGCCAAGACTGGGAAATTTATAAAGAACAGAAATTTGGGCAGGCATGGTGGCTCACACCTGTAATCCCAGCACTTTGGGAGGCCGAAGTGGGTGGATCATGAGGTTAGGAGTTTGAGACCAGACTGGCCAATATGGTGAAACCCCATCACTACCAAAAATACAAAAATCAGCTGGGCATGGTAGTGTGTGCCTGTAGTCCCAGCTACTCAGGAGGCTGAATAGCTTGAACCTGGGAGGCGGAGGTTGCAGTGAGCCAAGACTGTGCCACTGCACTCTAGCCTGGGTGACAGAGCAAGACTCTGTCTAAAATAAAAAAGAACAGAAATTTGTTTCTCACAGTTCTGGAGACTGGGAAGGGGCCAAGATCAAGGTATCAACTGCTCTCTGAAAGCTGCTCTCTGCTTCCAGGGTGGTGCCTCTTGCTGTGTTCTCACCTGAAAGAAGGAGGCAAAAAGGGATGCCATGTCTTCACATGGCAGAATAGATGGAAGGACCAGGCTGCTCTCTGAAGCTTCTTTTATAAGGGCATGAATCCCACCTATTAGAGCAGGGCCCTTATGGCTTAATCACCTCCCAAAGACCCCACTTCATCTCAAAACCTTGGGGTTTAAGTTCCAACATATGAATTTTGGAGGGACACATACATTCAAACCATGGCTGTATAAAGCACTTTGGGTTAACTCAATGTGATTTAATTCAATAACTATGGAGCTACCCCTATGAACCAAACACTAGGAGAGAAATAAAAGCACAGTATTTATCCTCTAGATATGTCTAATTGAAAGGGAAGTCAGGCTTGTAGTGTCTGCCTCACCTTGTTCTGTCCCTTTCCAACTACATGATCCTGAGCTAACTGAGGCCATATTATGATTTTGGTGGGCTCTAGGCACTTTTGCCTTCATGGACCCCTTCTTCCATAAAAAAGTATTTAAAGATCTATTTATGACTGCATTCGCATAAAGACAAACATAAAACAGGCTGGATTTATTATTATATATTCATTTTTTTCTTCTGGTTTTAAAAGAAATTAAAATTACAACATATTCTTAGGCTCCTGTATTACGGGCCCTAAGCACTGTGCCTACTGTGCCTAATGGGTAAGTCGACTTTGGGGCCAATTATTGACCTTATCTAGTTCTCATTTCCCTATCTGTAAAGTTTTGGTCTTGAAGGGTTGTTATGAGGATTATGTGAGGTACTTAGAAGCTGCATAAGGTCAGAAACCAAGTTCAATTTGTTTTCCACAGTGTACTTAGAGCACTTGGCACAGAATAAGCACTCAGTAAGATGAATGTGAAATTACTAACACAGAGTCAGGGTACAGTAAACACTTGATAAATATCAGATTTAGTTCACCAGACCTCCCAGGGGAACAGTTCAGGACATACATAATAGATATCAGAAAGCTGTCATAGATGGTACATACCCCGAATGTCACAGGAATTTAGATCAGGAAGGATTGCGTGGATCAGTCCCTTCACATGCTTTTTAATTTTTTATTTGCTCAGTGCATCCATCCCACTTAACTGCAGCCATAATGCTGTCATTAGCAGCGTAGGGAGGAAAAGGATGTGTTCAAAACCGTCAATTTTACATTCCAGCCTGGTATATTTACATATGCAGGGAGTTGTACTGGCATTGCCATGTAGCTCCAAATCCTCTGCAGATTTAATTACAAAGCTACAAAGTGAGTGCATAAATTATGCACTAAGGCCATGTTTGGGAAATTACTGTGTAGCCCTGGGAATTAGATAGGAGGTTAGATCTTTGTAATTGATATATTTCCACTTAAGGGTTGAAACCCTGCAGATCAGTGAGAACTTCTGTATAAAGACAGTTTGTCTGCGGTTCTGCAGGGCTAGCTGAACATTTAAACTCCAAACACTAGCTATTGGGAGGAAAAAAACTTTTCAGTTATCCAATCCTGTCTGGTCTCCCTCTTCAGCCTCATCTCCTTCATGGGTTCACTTGCTCCATCACATTTGGAAGATGCACAATAAATAGTATCAAGCTTTTTTACCTTTTCCTATACTGTTCTCTTTGATAGAATGTTATTTCCCTCTTCATTCTGGGAAGCCCCAGAGAGAGTGCCTATTTCTAGTAGCTACTCTACAAGCATTAGTTTCTTCTCCCTGAGTAAGAAGGCAAAGGTTTCATGTCAGTAAGCTCAGCTCAAATACTTTTGGAAGCTCTTACTACCTTCCCTAGGAGGAAAGAAAAGAAATGCACACATATTGGACATCAATTATGTACAAGCACTATGCTGGGTCCTTTACATTTATCATCTTATTTAATCCTCAGGGCAATATTATGCAGAAGATACTCTTATCCTTAGTACCTAGTCTAAATGGTTAAGTATCTTGGCCAAAATCTCTCTGCTAATAAAGAGCAGAGATGGAATCAGAATCCAGGTCTGCCTGGCTGTCTCCCTCAGGCAAGTCAGTTGTTCCATTCTTGAGGCTCTTAAAATTCTTCCATAATGTCTCTATCCTAACACATGTCTCACTGTTTGGTAGTTTATTCATATACTTTCATAATCTGTTTCTTTCACAAAACTTTTTTTTTTTTAATTATTGTTTGGAGAAGGCCCAGCAGCTGGTCCGAGTAGCCGGGAGAGGGCAGTCTGGGCTGAGGGTTCGGACTGGAGGCCTGGCAGCCCCGGGGGACCATGGCAGGCCCAGATGGGGACTCCGACTCCGACTGTCCCGGCCCAGAGGCTCTAGGGTAGTCCTGTCAGTCCCGGCCCAGAGGCTCTAGGGCGCCACTGCTCCCCCCGGACGGTGACTTAGACCCAGGTCCTGTGGGCTCTCGCCTCCGACGCACCGGCGCAGAGCCCGGACCTCAGCCCGCACGGACTCAGCGAGGGCCTGTGGGATTCTCTGAAGTCCTGCAATATCCAGGCGACGGAGAGTCGCCTATAAGGTCGCGCAGGGAGCACACAGGTGCAAGCCCCGACAGAGGGAAACCCTCCTCAGAGCCTCCGCGAAGGGGCTGGGCACGCCTCCTTCTGAATGACGCAGGGGGCGGGGCGTGAGACGGGGAAGGAGGGGCGGGAGGGGCTGGCGGTGCTGGCAGGGCTGGCGGGCGGAACTGTCGTAAAACGGGCGGGACGCGCCGCGCCAGTGACTGTCGTAAAAGGGCGGGGCGTGCCGCGCTCGGGATGAAGCTGGGGGCGTGCGTCGCGGAAGCAGGCTGCTAGCGGGCGTCCGGGTCATGGACCGCTGCGCGGGCTCTTTGGAGGAGGTGGTGGACGATACGCGGCAGCAACAGCGACACTACCAGCTGCTGTCGGCGCTGCAAAGCCTGGTGAAGGAGTTGCTCAAGTACGCGGGCAAGGCGGGCGGCGGCCTGCGAAGCCGGCCCCGGGCCCCGCAGGCGCTCACCGCGCACCCCCTGCCCGCAGCTCCTTCCAGCAGCACCTGTCCTACGCCACGCTCAGCCACCTGGCCTTGGCGCTTCTAGAGGGCACCGTGTTCAAAATCGTGCAGGGGCTGCTGGAGATCCAGCACCTCACCGAAAAGAGCCTGTACAACCAGCGCCTACGTCTACAGAACGAGCACCGAGGTGGACGGGGCGGCGGGACGAGGCGCCTCCTCTGGGTCGGCAAGTCCCGGCCGCTCTTGTTATCTGTGCAGATCGGCTCCTTCCCTGGGAGTGTTGGGAAGAAGTCCCTTAGATTGACAGAATCAAGGGCGCGGAGACTGAGCGCCTTTTTGGTGACCGGTGGGTCCAAACAGTTTTGTTTTCAGTTGCGCAGGCCCCCTTCTTAGCAGAAACTGCCTGCTCGGGCTGTCCTGTGCCCCACCCCCTTCCAAGCAGGATGGCCCTAGGCCTCTGTGCTTGGTTGGCCTGGCCCTGACTGCATTGCCCCTTAGTAGGTGAAGATCTGTTGACAGCTGTGCAGCGCTCTTTGGGGTCCATTCTCTCTCACGTCTCGTAGGGCCTCATACCAGTTGCACATCAAATTCCTAAGCACTGTCCTCTGTGACACCCTCCCAAACCCGAAGAATTTCCCACTTGAGCCGCATGCTTGGTGGGCTTAGGAGCCCTTTCCTGCAAATTACACAGGGCGGGTCCCCCTGCACTATCACATTTCCACCTTTGCTGTTATATTTTCCCCAAACTTCTTATTTTAAAAGTTCGAACATTTAGAAAAGCTGAAAAGACGGTGTAGTGCATACAATTGTGCTCTCCACCAGAAGTTCAATAGTTAACACAGAGGGTAGCCCTCTGAGAAATTAACCGTCTGGGTGTCTCCAGATGTGTGCGCGGCCACGTCTCGGTACCTAACTTGTCGCAGAATCTTGCTTTCTATGTAAGGATCCAGTCCAAGTTCATGCTGCAGTTGGTTGCTTGGGTCTCTCTGCTTCTGGAACAGTCCCCACATTTATTGTGGCATTGCCTGTCTGTAGAGTCCAGGGCATTTTACTTCTAGAACGCCCTGCTCTGGATCTGTCAGATTGCTTCTTCGTGCATTTAACCTGCTTCTCCACTCTCTGGGTTTCCTGTAAACTGAACTGCTGGTAAAAGCCTGATTTAAGGCAGGTTTAATGTGGCAAAAAATCCTCCTGGCGGTGCCCTTCCCCAGAGGGCAGGCATGTCCATCTGCTCCAGAATCGGTGTGTTTCTATCAAGAATGGATGTTGGATTTTGGCAGACCCATTTTTGGCAGCTCTTGAGATGATCACATGGTGAATCATTTTCTGTTACTACGTGAATTACAGTCACTTGAATTCCATCCTGCTTGGTCATGCTGTACTATACTTTTTATGTAACCAGATTTGATCTGCTAGAATCTTAAGAATCTTTTTGTCTATATTCATGACAAACTTTGGTCTGTAGTTTTTATGGAATACTGTCTGGTTTAGGTGTCAGAGTTTTTGCCAGTCTTACATGAGGAGTTTGGAAGTGTGCTCTCCTCTTGAGTTCTCCAGAAGAATTTGTGCAGAATTGGTGTTACTTCTTGCCCTAAATGTCTGCGTTTTTAGGTGATTGCGTTTTTAAAAATTTTCATTGAGCAGTAAAATGCGTACAGTTTACTAATCTGAAGTGCATGGCCCATTATTTGTTAATGCTCAGACTGTGCCATGTGTGGCCAGTGGGAGTGCTCCAGGCTCCCTTAGGTGCCTCCCATCATTCCTTGAGCACTTCCCTGCTTTCTGGTTCAGGACCGTGTTTGGCTCATCTTTTTTTCTCTGTCTCAGTACTAGAATTGGTCATTTTTCCACAGAGTTCTGGTGCCTTCTAGCAGGATGAGGAGTTTCAGTAACTCTCTGGGCCCAGTGCCGTTTGTGCTTCAGAAGGCGTGGGCCAGGCCCTGGTTCCACCAGCAGCAGGCATGTCTGCATTGACTTTCTGCTTCTCCTGCTGATTCAGCAGGGCTGACTGGTTGCTCCTCCTCCTTTGTGTTCCCTGGTCATGTCTGAGGTCATGTCTAAGCCCAGGCAGCCAGCGTGGCTCTCTTCTTGCCTTTTGGTTGCCTACCTAGTGGAATCTGGCAGTGGACCTGGCACTTGTAGCAGTCAGTAGAGTGAAGGAGATGACATTTCGCTGCTTCCCTGTGTGTGAGATGTCTCGAGGGGGGGTCTTGGTTGGAAACATATTTCTTTCTTTCTTTCTTTCTTTTTTTTTTTTCCCAAGATGGGGTTTCACCATGTTGGTCAGGCTGGTCTTGAACTCTTGACCTCAGGTGATCCGCCCGCCTTGGCCTCCAAAGTGCTTGGATTACAGGCGTGAGCCACCACGCCCGGCCGGAATCATATTTCATGTGATAAATGCCATCATCGAGGTGTGAACAGAATGCCAAGAAACAGGAGATTGGGGAAGGCTGTAGGCACAGCAGGAGCACAGGCAGGGTGGCCAGCCCGGCTCTACTGTGGGTACCACCTGACTCTGCTGACTGGGCTGAGCTAAGGGATGCAGGGGGACTCAGGCGTGGGTGGCTACCCTGGGCCTGAATGGGCCACTGGAGGCCTAGTGAGTCCCACCAGGTGGCTCCTCCCTGTGGGTGCCAGGTGTACTGGGGCTGGGTGGAAGGTGAAGGCTCACCAATGCTCCCCTGCATAGCAGCTCCTTGTGGGTTGGGGCCTCAGCAGAGCAGGTGGCCTCGGGGGGGTACAAGGGCAATGGTGATGGAGCCAGCCAGGAAGGGGCCCATCCTTCTCCCAGGGAGCACAGGGACAGCCGGAGACTGGCATTTAACCAAGAAGCCATGGGGCAGTGGGTGCCTGCAGAGACGCGTGTGCAGTCCCAAGGCAGCCCCAGGTTGGGGCATTCGTGGAAGCCCCTTGGAGCCCCACTTCAGAGTTTGGCTGGCCGAGGAGAGGCCTGGGTGTGGTGAGGACGCATCGGTGGTGTCAGAGCTAGTGCTACTGGGAACAGCAGCAGGCATTTGTGTTTGAGCCGCCCTCACCCACGGCAGGCGTGGAGCACTGGATCCGTGAGGAGCAGGGGGCAGTGGACCGGAAGATCGTCCTAGAGCTGGACCGGAAGGTGGCTGACCAGCAGAGCACACTGGAGAAGGCGGGGGTGTGGCTGGCTTCTATGTGACCACCAACCCGCAGGTTAGCGCCTGGGCCTGCTCTGCCCTGGCCCGAGTACCCCTGAGCCCCGAAGACCCCATTTCATCTGGGGTTTCAGTGCTGGTCCCTGGGAATCCAGGCTCAGGGTATGGGGGTGAAGTGGAAAGACTGAGGCTCTGGAAAGGGTTTCCGTGCTGTTCCCAGCACAGAGGCCGGGCCCACTCCCTACAGGAGGGTGAGCCAGCCAGCCAGCCATGGGGCACTGCCCCCCCTCCCCAGGCCCGCAGGGCCCTCTTGCTCTCCTCCCACATGCCATTCTGAGTGGCCTTGCTGGAGGCAGAGGCTCAGATTCCACCCCTTCCTGGCGGGCCATGACTGGCTTCACAGGGTGGTCGCCCCATGGGCTCACTGCCTGACACCTCTAGGCTGGGATGAACGGGGCCTGGGTGGCTCTGATGTTCGTGGGGCCCCTCTGTATCCCAGGAGTTGATGCTGCAGATGAATCTGCTGGATCTCATCCGGAAGCTGCAGCAGAGGGGCTGCCAGGCAGGGAAGGCAGGAAGGCAGCAAGGCAGCCCTGTCCCACCATAGCCACAAGCAGCAGGAGTCTGGGCAGAGTTCATCTTCTTGACTTTTGGCCACTACCTTTGCAGCTGCCTGCAGGGGTCCCCCTGCTGAGGAGAAGCCAGGTGGACCCTGGCTGCCTGTCCCCCACCTTCATCTGGGACTTTCTGCCAAATGCTAGGATGGTCTCATAAAGGGGAGGTAGGCTCATCCTGCCGCTGTCTGCCTCAGGGCCAGGCAGAGTGGGCATTGGGGTTCTCTTCGGGGCACATTTCGACCTGCACTGGGGCCCACCTGAGTGCTTGTTCTGGTCTCAGCCTCTCCCTTGGCAGCTGCAGCTCCCATGCAGAAGAGGCTCCAAGGCCCAAGCTCTGTGTGACCCAGAGAAATAAAGATGCCTCAGTGTGGCCTGCATGTGGCTCGTGTGACAGCTGTGGGTTCTGCCATACCAGGGCCCTGGTAGGACCCCCACCTCTGCTGCAGCAGAGACCTGCCTGGGGGTCCCTTCCTGGGCTAAGACAAGACATCTTGCCAACCCTCCCTGTTTATTTGCCTGTCTTTTCCCCAGCCCTGTCTCACAGCCTTCACCCTTCCAGGAGCAACCAGAAACACCAATCCATCACTCATGAGCTCCAGGCAATGCCTGGCTAATGTCGAGATGCAGCGTGTCTCCTCTCCAGAACCTGCACATATTCCTTTCAGTCCAAGTCTTCTGGGACCAACCCCTATGCTGAACACTATTTTGATCTTGGCCCAGGCCTTCATCACCTGCCATCTTAAAGCTATTATTCTTCCAAGGACTTAACCAAACACTTACTAGACAATAAGAATCACAGAATGTATTTATTTATGTATTTATTTTTTGAGACGGAGTTTCACTCTTGTTACCCAGGCTGGATTGCAATGGCACGATCTTGGCTCACCACAACCTCCGCCTCCTGGGTTTAGGCAATTCTCCTGCCTCAGTCTCCTGAGTAGCTAGGATTACCGGCACGCAACACAATGCCCAGCTAATTTTTTGTATTTTTAGTAGAGACGGGGTTTCACCATGTTGACCAGGATGGTCTCGATCTCTTGACCTTGTGATCCACCTGCCTTGGCCTCCCAAAGTGCTGGGATTACAGACGTGAGCCACTGTGCCCGGCCACTTTTTTTTGTTTTATACATATATAAAAAAGATGGGAATGTTAGGCCTCCAAGTCCAAGCCTGGCCATTGCAGCCTTGGTGACCCTCACATACACCTCTGGATGTCATCCTGGAGCCAGAAAGCCTGAAGTAATTACAAGTAACCAAGCGACCACTGGAAGAAGTAAAACAGCTTGTTCCTGCCTCAACTAATTGCTGCAACCTGCACCCATTGTTTCTGTTCAGCCTGGCAAAAATCCCCCTTGCCCTCCACCGCCTGAATTTGCCGTACCCTCCCCTCTGATTGCAACCGATACTTCTCACCCTTATTGTGCTATAGCTGGAACCTAAGCAACGCCATTTTATAAAAGACAAAGCTGTTTTTCAGAAATAAATTGTAACGGCTGCCCCATTCTCCTCACAGTAACTACTGGCCTTGGCTCCTGTAAATAAAACTGCTAGTTTGCTCTGCAAAGTGCTCACTATGTAAAGCTGCTTACCTTTTCTTACCAGTAACTGCCAGAATTGCTGGCCTTTGCTTACCAGGAATGACCAGAATAAGCAGCCCAAGCTAATTCCATCCTGGCTCCTGCAACTTGAAATAAGTAACTAAAATCTGTGGATTCCACTACTGCCCAGACAATGTGTAAACTAACGCTTATCTTGACTTCTGTAAACCACCTAGGTAACAATCGAAGTGACAAGTCCCCTAGCCCTTGGAATGTCTGGAGACCCACTCCCTCCTCTGCCCGGGAGGTGATTTACGGACTCCCCTGGCCTTCAGAGTGTCTGAATCCCTTCACCCCCACCCCTGGAGGTGGTTTACGGGTATAAAAGAGTCTTGTCACCCTCTTTTCGGAGCCATGGGTTGGAGAGACGTGAGTCCTCCGTGGTCACCCAGCAATAAAGACCCTGCAATTTGGCATACTTTTGTCTCGTTAATTTTATAATCTTGCATTTCAGTACTTCACTTATGATCATGCCTGTTTGTAATAAATGACCCTACCCTTGTGATCATGCATCCTGTGATTCCCTCCCCCTTCCCAAGGTAAATTACCACCTTTAGCTGACCATTTGCCCCAACCTATATATAAACAATCCCCTCTCCTACCCCTTTGCCTAACTCCTTTCTTGGACTTGGCCCGCTTGCACCCAAGCGGGAAATAAAAGGCCTTGTTGCACACAAAAAGCCTGCCTGGTGGTCTCTTTACATGAGTGACACGTGTGACACATGGGAGGTGGAGGTTGCAGTAAACCAAGATCGCACCATTGCACTCTAGCCTGGGCAACAGAGCGAGACTCCATCTCAAACAAAAATAAATAACAATAAATAAAAACTAAATAAAATTATTGCTGTTACTATCCTTGGAGCAGAGAATAGTAGATCTGCTGCACCCTGTCATGTGTCTTTTGATACTCTATGTTTAAGAAAAACAAAACAATTATGTGTTTTATTTTATGAATCAGTTTTGGAGGGCTTCTGGCTATACTTTTTTCTCACATTCTACAAAGCAGCATGTTTTTCCACAGAATGGGAACTCCAATGGCAAGATAGTGTGTTGGTTTCAGCTGGGTGCAGTGACTCAAACTTGTAATTAATCCCATTTGCAAGCCAAGGTGGGAGGAGCGCTTGAGCCTAGGAGTTTGAGATCAGCCTGGGCAATGTAGTGAGACCCCCACGTCTTTTTTTTTTCTGAGACGGAGTTTCGCTCTTGTTACCCAGGCTGGAGTGCAATGGTGCGATCTCGGCTCACCGCAACCTCTGCTTCCTGGGTTCAGGCAGTTCTCCCGCCTCAGCCTCCCCTGAGTAGCTGGGATTACAGGCATGCGCCACCATGCCCAGCTAATTTTTTTTGTATTTTTAGTAGAGACGGGGTTTCACCCTGTTCGCCAGGATGGTCTCGATCTATTGACCTCATGATCCACCCACCTCGGCCTCCCAAAGTGCTGGGATTACAGGCTTGAGCCACCGCGCCCGGCCCTCTTGTGTTTTGTTGCTGCTGTTCTTAGCAACTGAGTCTCACTTGATAGTGAAATGAAAGGACATTTGCTATAATGGGTAATGAGAATCTTATCTATATTCAGATTTTTGTTTTTACAAGTTGTATATAATAATATCACCATATTTACAGGTTTGATATTAGGGTTCTTTAGAGACATCTGTGTGTATGTGTAGAACTGGCTCATTTGATTAGGGTGGCAAGTCCAAAATATACTAAGTGGGAGGCAGACTAGAGACTCTAGGAATTGCTGATGTTGCAGCTCAAATAGAAGGCCACTTGCTGAAGAATTTTTTCTTGCTCAGAGAAGTATTTTGTTATCCTTACACCTTCAACTGATGGGATGAGGATAATTTGCCCTCCATTACATCCTGGAGGGAAAATTACTTTACTGAAAGTCCACCAATTTAAATGTTAATCTCATCCAAAAACACCATCACTGGAACATCCAGAATATTGTTAGACCAAATACTGGCATTGTGGCCCAGCCAAATTGACAAATAAATTTAGACATCACAAATATATGGTAATGATAGTGACCACTTTTTCTTTTTAGCGCCATTTGGTAGGTATAAGCGTTTTGTTGTTGTTGTTGTTGTTTTGAGACAGAGTCTCACGACAAGACAGTCTCACTCTGCTACCCAGGCTGGAGTGCAGTGGCACAATCTCAGCTCACTGTAACCTCCGCCTCCTGGGTTCAAGCTATTCTCCTGCCTCAGCCTCTCAAGTGCTGGGACTACAGGCTCCTCCCACCACACCCAGCTAATTTTTCTATTTTTAGTCGAGTCGGGGTTTCGCCATATTGGCCAGGCTGGTCTTGAACTCCTGGCCTCAAGTGATCCACCTACTTTGGCCTCCCAAAGTGGTGGGACTACAGGTGTGAACCACTGCACCCAGCCCTACAAGCATAATTGTAACAAATTATTATTATTTTTTTTTGAGACGGAGTTTTGCTCTTGTTACCCAGGCTGGAGTGCAATGGCACGATCTCGGCTCACCGCAACCTCCGCCTCCTGGGTTCAGGCAATTCTCCTGCCTCAGCCTCCTGAGTAGCTGGGATTACAGGCACACGCCACCATGCCCAGCTAATTTTTTGTATTTTTAGTAGAGCCGGGTTTCGCCATGTTGACCAGGATGGTCTCGATCTCTTGACCTCGTGATCCACCCGCCTCAGCCTCCCAAAGTGCTGGGATTACAGGCTTGAGCCACCACGCCCGGACTGAACTCACTCTTTTTTATGGATGCACAGTATTCCATGGTGTATGTGTGCCACATTTTGGTTTTGTAAAGGAAAGTTTTGATATGGATTTAAATGTGGTGGGATGAGGACAGGATCCCTACTGTTTAGGGTGCTGCTGGGGAGAATGGTGAGAAGAGACAGAGCCCTCAGGTTAGAGGAATGGACATTTGGTTAGAAATAGGACCTGGGTGGTCCTCAGGGACAGTCCTGGGGTGGGGTCCCCAGGCTGTAGCTGTGGAAGCTTCCCTCTAAGAGAAGGGACTCTGCATTGTCCCTGCAGGGCTCGGGATAAAATATGAATCTGAAGATGCTGACCTTTGGTTTGGAAGAAATGAACAGGAAGAAAGTTCCACTCTGTGCTGGTGCAGCCACTGTTCATCCTCAGCCAGGCGTTAGTCCAGCTGCACAGACAGTGGCTCAGACCAATAGTAAGTCAGGTGAAACTGAGTTCATCAAGCCACTGACACTCCAGCCCAGGTGTCCCTTATCATTTAAAGGGCATTAGCTGCTCACCCAGGGTTGGTCAAGTGGAGAGAAGTGAAACAGTCATGTGACAGTTTAGAATGTTGCTTTCTAATACAGTTAGGTGTCATCCAGTGGCATGTGACTCACATCTGCAGGCCATCTCCTGGCTGCCATATGATATTGTCAACTTTAAATAACAAGTTTCAGGAAAAATGGTTAAATGTGGAGTTTATTTGAACAGAAACCTTGCCAACAGCCATCAGGAACACAGATTCCAAAGAGTGGAATTCTTGGGGCTCATTTACATATATAAGGTTTGGGAAGCTTAGCAGGGTTTCAACATACTCCCCACAAGGCTAGCACACAGTTACAGTAATCTCATTCGTCAACGCAGTATTCTTTGTGAGAAAGGCTTATTTAACATTCCACAATGAAGATGTAAAAGGTATGGGGTCTCTTACACCATCTAGTCTGAGTTAGGTACAGGACAATAAAGGACGCAGCTAATCCATGACCCAGATCAGCGACTAGAAGGGGAGGCCTGGTCTGTGGTTTCTCCTGGCCAGTTGCAGAACATGGACAATGAGAGAGAGAGACTTCACGATCTAGGAAGCTGAAGCTGTAACTTCCACTATACGGCTCAGACCACAGTCACAGCTCTCTCAAGGCTCAAGTGTCTGGGGGTTCCCAACAGCGTTTACATTTTATCTACTTTCACAATAGCATGTTACACAGTAGCATAATGTGTCTCAGGTCTGTGTCCCTGGTTTTGGCTATTTGTGATGTCACATGTTACACAGTGACATCGCTCTTGTGAGTGATTTGCCAGTCCTGACCACAGGCAATAACAAAGACTTTCCTTGGCAGGGCTGATGGGAGAAACCCCCTCCAACACCAGGCATGGTGCACGGCCAGTGCATGGGCAGGCCCTGGCCGAGTGCAAAAGCCACATGCATGGCCTGCCGGATTGTCTCTAGGCTTGTTGACTGAGTGGCCACGCAACAGTGGCTGCCTTTTAATAGATCTTATGTAATGAGCTGAACAAGATCCCCAGGTGAGGTGTGAGCTGCCGAGAATACTTGAGCAAGCGAATCAGAATTGGAGTATCAGTTCCTCCTCTTTGTTCACTAGAGGTGTCTCTCTAGCGAGCTCAGAGATTGCTCGCTCATCAACCTCCATGGTCCTGTGACGGCTGATTTTATGTTGGCCATCCTGGCTGGCCACGGCGTGCCCGGATTGCACACTGTTCGATGTGTGTCCGTGAGGGCATTTCCAGGTGCATTTAGCATGTAAGGCAGTGGGCAAGGCACACGGCCTCCCCAGTGTGACAAGTATCACCCAATCCATTGAGGGACTGAGTGGAACAAAGGCTGGGGAAGGAGAACTCACTTCCCTTTTTCCTCGCGTCACTACTGGAGCTGGACATCTCATTTTCCCGTGCCCTCAGACTGCCATTTCCACATCCACCCCTCTGGTTCTCAGGCCTGGGGAGGGAGTTGTAAATGTGCCAGATGGACAGACACCAGTCAGAGCAACACAGGCCTCAGGAGGGGTCTAGGGACTCCAGGCCTCTGGTCATGCCCAGGAAACAGCAAGGGAGATAGGGATCTTTATTTATATTTCTTATTATTTTTTTGAGACAGAGTTTCACTCATCACCCAGGCTGGAGTGCAATGGCACGATCTGCTCACTGCAACCTCCGCCCCCTGAATTCAAGCAATTCTGCCTCAGCCTCCTGAGTAGCTGGGATTACAGGTGCACACTGCCATGCCTGGCTAATTTTTATATTTTTAGCAGAGACAGTTTTTTTTTTTTTTTTTTTTTGAGACATTCTTACTCTGTCCCCAGGCTGGAGTGCAGTAAAGATGGGGTTTCACCATGCTGTCCAGGATGGTCTCGATCTCTTGACCTCATGATCCACCTGCCTTGACCTCCCAAAGTGCTGGGATTACAGGCATGAGCCACTACACCTGGTCAGGTTTCACCATGTTGGCCAGGCTGGTCTCAAACTCCTAACCTCAGGGGATCCACCTGTCTCGGCCTCCCAAGTGGTGGGATTACAGGCATGAGCCACCGTGCCCGGCCGAGTTTTACCATGTTGGCCCAGCTCGTCTCAAACTCCTAAACTCAGGGGATCCACCCGACTCAGCCTCCCAAGTGCTGGGATTACAGGCATGAGCCGCCACACTGGGCCAAGACGGGGATCTTTTTTTTTTCCCCCA